AATATCTCGACTGCTATGCAAGATAGATGGGTATTTTTTCATTAAATACAAGAGAAATACGTGAGATTTAAGATGACACCATTAACTCAGCATGCCCAAAACTGACGAGCGCCTGATTCCACTCTGTCAAGACACATGTTTTTTAATAATATATTTTAGGGCGTACATTGTGAGGGAAGTCAGCATCTCCTTGTCACGTGATAATTTTGATTATATTTGTTTAATTTAAGAAGTTGTGTGTTTATGTATGGCTCTTCATGCGCACGAAATCCTTCTACTCACGCAATAACTTCATTATATTTATTTAAAACTTAACACGTTGTGTGTTTATTTGTGTGTCTCCAGGCAGACCCGGTGTACCATTCCAGGCAATACCAGAGCTCGGGCAAAATCCACAAATGCGAGACCCACTCCATTTTGATCAAGTGAGTTCCTTTGTCAAATCACTGGAGATTTGTTTTCTTTGCATTTGTGTTTATTTATTAACTTTTGTTATTTTAAAAGCATTATTGGGGATTTGGTTGCTGGGATTTATTCGTTTCGTTTCTTCTTTTTTTATATTATTTTTTGTTGTTGAGGATGTGGGGAGGTTGGAGGGGGATACTGGGGTATGGAATTGCTTGTTCCAGACTGCTTGGCTCAGTACTGTGTGTGATTGGGGGTGGGGTGGGGTGGAGGTAAACGTGGCGAGGGGGGGGGTATAAAGAAAACGGATCACATTACTTCCCTGTTAAGAACATTGCATTGGCCCTCAATGTCAGCAAGAATATCGAATAAAATTGCAGTACTATGCCACAAAGGCCACAGTTAGTGTGTTAATAACAAATCTCCCTCACTCATATCTCAGTGATCTCATCCAGATTTTGGTTACGTTAAGATCACTGACGTCAGGCGATCAGGAGAGAAGATCAAGCGTAAGCTGAAAGATCCTTCATTCAACAGTTTGAAACTCCTTTGTACAACCATTGAGACACACACCATCGGATTTTAAATCGAAGATATATTCAAAGACACATTAAGTGACACTCTTTCCAACTTAGAGTCTTCATTTTCAGTTCAATATGATGTAA